ACTTGCTGCATGATGAAGGCAGGCTCGGGTCCCAACCCCACTTCCTCCCTGCATACCCCCCCACTCTAGCTGACATCACAGCATCCATTGGAGAGCCAGCGCTGGAATTGTTGGACTGCAGTATCTGCAACTTAGGAAGGCCAAGTCCCCTCACATCAATCCTGCCTTTACCAGGCCAGGCCCAGGCCAGAAAGAAGGAACTACAGTTGGCAGCAGCTGGGAGCAGGTTAGAATCCTCCCCCACGCCTTCCATGTTTGTTAGCCAGAAGTTCTGGACCATTTTTAGAACCAGGTGGGACAGTGGGACCCTCCAGGCCTGCATCAGATGCCAGTCTACCTTATCCCCATTCTGCCAATCTGAGGATAAGTGGGCAGGCAGAGGAGGAGATCCAGGCCCTGGGCTCCCAGGCTGGTTGGGAAACTGGAGGGAAGTGAATGATCAGTAAGGGCAGGAGAAGTCATAGAAGCCTTCCTGGAGGAAGCAGCCTTTGAATCACAGGCTCTCAGGATCTGAAGGTATCATAGACTGCCTGAAACTGCATGTCATCACAATCAGGAAGCTCTTTGATATCTTCACTGCCAGAAGCTCTGATCCTCTCCATGGGTACTTATCCCACTGGGACTTTGCGTTTTTTCATCATGGGACAGTTCATCGATAAGACAGTTGCTCCTCACATGTCACTTCCCAGCAATGCTACCACCTTTCCCAGCACCTCCTTTCAGGGCCCACCCAGTAACAGCTCTTCGGAGCAGAAACAAGGACGCAAGGATCCATTTACCTGGGGTTGCCATTTCTCGGGAGGGTTGTCACCAGCTCTCTCAGGCCCTCTGTGTTCCTGTCTCATCCTTGCTGCAGCATGGGGCCTGGGCTGGGCACCATCACATCACGGCAGTCCCGTTGCCCCAGGAGTCACCAGGAGCAGCTACTGCAGAGAACCCAGCACCACAGAAGAATGACCTCAGTCCATGAGGGAGTAGTCTGCTCATAGAGACCCTGTCTTGGGATACACGCCCCCATTTGCTTCATACCTTTCAGACAACAGAGGTGAGGGATCCCACCCCACACCCCTCAGTGACCTGACCCCAGCAGGGGGAAGAATTGAGGGGCAAAATCAAAGACAGGACTGATTTTGATAGGTTGAAATCAGGTCTGGCCAGGGTAGGGGTGGGGGCCACCTTTGGTAAGGAAATCAGGGGAGGGAAGGGGAGACGCTATTTCATGAGGTTTATATGTCTGTTCCAAAAGCCTTTGAGGATTCCATCAGTGCTTCTCAGACTTTAATGTGAAAACTAATCCCCTGGGGATCTTGTTAAAATGCAACTTCTAGTAGATCTAGGAAAGGCCTAACATCCTGAATTTCTAACAAGCTCCCAGGTGATGCCAAACTGCTGGTTTCAGCACCATTTTGAGCAGCAAGGAACTGAACTACAAGAAAAACTTCTGCTCACAATCTAGTTAAAATAAAAGTATAGAGAGGGAAGAGGTTTCTTATGAGCCCAAAGTGAGATTGCAATTGAGTATCACTTCCCTGGACTAAGTTTCCCCTGAAGCCATGTCAAGAAAGGAAAGAAGTGTTACCAACTCTTCTTCTATGATAACAGAGATAGTTGCTTGTCATGGAAAGAAAGTTCTTCTTGATTCTATCTGCCCAAAGAATTGATGAAACAGATCTTACTATCAGGATATTTGAAAAGCAGGTTGTATTTTAGGGGTACTGTCGGCCTTTCGGTGGGAAGAACAGAGCCTGGTTACCACTATAGGGTTCAACAGGGATGCAAAGTCACAGCTTAGATAACACAGTGCTCCTGGAGTCTGGCCTGGGTCGAAACCATGGAGACCATGGTCAGAACCATAGGAGACCATCCTTCCACCACATACTCACTCAGATGCCAGTTGGCTCAAGTGCCCTGACGACAGAGTGAGACCTGGAGCTCTGATGCCCCACCATGCAGCCCTGGGTGCTCAGAGGAGGGCAGCTGAGGCCCCTGCTGGAACCACAGGAAGGGGTGAGGTGGATCTGTGGGCAACGGAAGAGCCCCACCTCTTCCCAGTAATCAGGAAAGGCTTCCTGGAGGAGAAGACATGGCAGACAGATTTGTTTATGTAAAGGAAGGGAGGTGGTTTGGGGAGAGGAAGGTCCAAACAGAAGGAGGGGTAGACGAGGGTGGGCTTCCAGTCCCAGCAAGGGTCGAGGGAAGCTCCCTCTCCACCCCTCTCCTCATTGCTGGCTCAAGCCCTCAGCGAGGGGCTGATGGAGGTGAGGTGGCCACCCCCACACCTAGGATGTCCCGTGTGAGTCTATCTTCTCTTCACAGACTGAATCTCTGCTTCCCACTCCCGGCGTGGTGCAGAGGAGGCGGCGGTGCTCTTCCTGCCTCGGGGAGCACCCAAGCTGTGCATACAGAGGCTCTGCCCTCAGGGAGTCCCACACCCAGACTGGGACTAGGTGAGAAGTCCAACAATTCAGCCTCCGAACATGACTGCGAACGTAGCCACACACGGGATAAGGAAGAGGAGAGGCCCATGGCCCCCAGGAAGTGACTGCCCCAGTGGAAGACTCTTCACTGGTAAAAAAAAAGGTACGTTGGCATGAAGGGTCAACTTGAGTGGCCTTGAGTTTCACCTCAGTCCAAGGAGGGTCAGTGAGAGCACAGCCAGATCACATGGGCACTGGGTTCTCTGCCTTCCTCACTCACTCCTTTTGGGGTGACCTAGAACACACCCTCTCTTTCCCAGCCTCTTTTGTGATGAAAGGGACATGCAGGACCCTGATGACTTTCCAGAAAAGGAAATGGAAAATCCTTAGACAAATAAACCCGAGGTGTGCCTGCATTTGCAGGGAAGAAGGAACAAAAGCACTTGCCTTTTTCTATGATTGCCAAGGCCATTGGAGACTAGGGGTTGGGGGGGGGGTGATAGGAAGTGGGGCTTACAGGAGATGCTGGGGCTGGATGGCTGCTCCCGCCTTGGCTCACCAGGGCTAGGCAGGGGCTCTGACCCATCCTTCTTTCCGGGCAGTTCTAGGGGAGAGGTCTGAATTGAAGGAAAGGCTGGGCTCCTACACAATAGCTTGCGGGTATAGAAACCAGGACACTTGCAGATGTTTCCAGCACCCCCGAAGTCTCAGGCCTGGGCTGGCAACCAAGGAGGAAGTTAAGGAAGATAGGAGAGGAGGGGTTCCAGGAAGCCCCACCCCCACCTCTGCTTGGGGACCTTCCTGGCAGCAGGGGAGAAAGTAGGAAGAACTTGGCATCTATGAGCTGCTGAGTGGTGAGGGCCTTGGCTCTCTGAGACTCGGTTCTCTTATCTGGAAATGCAGGGATTTGAGTGAGACCCCTTGGCGGCTGCACCAGTGCCTGCTACCTGGGAGTGGTCACTAAGGAGAATGTGGGTCCAGTTGCATAGGACCATCTTGTTCAGTTACCCCACTTTATAAATGGGAGTGGAGAGGGAAGGTCTTAGTGGGGAGCAATCAAAGACAAAGTCATTTATCCAAGTAGCCTAAGCAGCTCTGGGGCCTGCTAAGAGCCCAGGAAAGAAGAGGGATTGCCAATTTATGTGTGGGAGGGGGGTGGAAAGGCAGGGGGCGAGGACCTGACCTCCAGGGGTCAGTCTACACTGTAAGGTTCTGTTGACCTCACTGAGTCTCAGCATTCCACATTCATACTTCTTGACTCTCGGCAAGTTATATCACCCCTAATTCCTGCTCTCTCCCATCCATCCCTGTAAAAGAGCCAATATCGACTGGGCACAGGTCGGGTGCCAGTCCATTTCCAAGCACTGTATGCTTACACCTCACACCAACATTAAGAGGTACCAGATATGATTGTTCCCATCTTAAAGAGGGAAACTGAGGCTCAGAGAGGGTTTTCTTTTGTTTTATTTGTAACTTCACTAAAGTGGCACAGCTGAGATGTTGGAGGTAAACTAAACCTGGGTCATCTCATCACTCCAGGTATAAGCTAGAGGTCACTCAGTCAAGCATGCCCCGAGGATCTCCAAAACCCAGAGAGAACAGCAGATGGATACACCTGGGGCCTCCTTAGTTAGGTGGGCTCCGGAGCAGGGGCTGGCTGCCATTTGCCTGCCTGCCTGCCCTCAGGAGAGGGGCAGCTTCCATGATGCCCAGTGACACACCAGATGGCAGAGCTGAGGTTCACAAACTGAAAACACTGACGGGACACTGGGGCCACTTTCCCTGGCCCCCATGAGCATAGCTCTGCCCGAGGTCACTGAGGGACTGAGAGCCATCCTGCCAGCCTCTCTCTCTCCCTCTCTGCACTTGGAGGTGGCTAGGTCCAGGGCAGCCCGCCGGTCCTATCCAACTGGCCCAAGGTCACCAATCTCTTCAAAAACAATGGGCAGTGTGTCCAGCCGTGGCTGGGGCCAGAACAAAGGTCTGGGCACTTCCTCACATTGAGGCCCCCTCCTTCATGATCTGCCAAGGCAGGGGATGGAGGAAGCCTTCATCAGGAGGTAGGGATGTTTTGCAGACTGTTCCCAGGAGAGCTGGGAGCCGGTGCCAACAGGGGAGCAGACAGAAGGAACAGAAAGGCTGGCAGCTCAAGGTTGAGATCTGCCTGCCAGGAAGCAGGGGACAGAGCTGCCTTGACTCCAGGTCCAGGCCCCGCCCCCCAAGTTTCCCAGGCTGAATCACTGAAATGCAAGGTACCTCCCACCCGAGCACCTCCCCTCACAGCCCTGATCAGAAGTTGGCATCTTCCCTCTGACGACCCACACCCTCTATGCTGTTGCAGAGCGAGCCTTCTAAAACAGCTCGGATCCACCCCTGCCCTGCTCTAATCCACCCCCTCCACCATGGCCCCCTAGCCCTTACAGGAGGAAATGCAAACCCCTTCACCTAGCATTCAAAGGCCTTCAGGATCCAGCCCAAATATCCTCAACCTTCTCATGCCAGATTCCCATTCCCCTCCTCCCCAACACCTCTGCCCCTGCGTATCTCACCTGCAAAGCCTCTGCCCTCCTCGCCTCCTCCCCTCCTGTAGACTCCAGCTCTCCTCCTCCCCATGATCGCTCTGGCCCATACAGCTCCCCTCCTCTGAGCTTTACGTCCCCAATAAAACCTAAGAGGGATCCGAGCCCAGGAGTTTGGAGTATAGGGTGAAAGCAGATCAACTGATAGGAGAACAACTCTTCCATAGATTTCCTGAGTCTGTGTATACAGACTAATGACCTGTGCTGAATCTTTATTAATAGCACTCTCAACTTCAGTCCCTGCGCTGGGGCAGGGGAAGGGCAAGCAAGGCAGGGGGGCCAGGGCTCAGGGAGGTACTGACAGCCTGGGAGTGCCAGGCTAGACACCCAGCAGGGCACAGAGAGGTGGGTGCTTATCACTCAGGGCACCTCTGCAGGGAGGCAGGACTTTGCTGAACCCCATAGATGTCAACAGGCCTTAAGACAGAAAATTCCAGATAAGCACTCAGGATGGCTTTATCAGAGGGTACAGGAAAGGCGCCAGTTTTAATCTCAAAACCACACCCAGAATCAACGGTTTAGAGACCTCGGGCAGCACGTCCCCACCCCAACACCCAGTGGCAGGGCTTTATGCCAGGAGATGGGGTAGGGTGTGAGGCACAGGTGTGGCTGGGGCGAAGCTTCATCAAAGAGAGACTGAACCTTGGGCTTCATCCCCTGGATGGACAGGTTCATGGGGTGTGGAAGGGAAGACAAAGAGCCCCGGGCCCAGGAACATGGAAAAAGTGTGCAGTCTAGAGGGGTGCGTGTGTGTGTGTGTGTGTGTGTGTGTGCATGTGTGTTACACATGTTGTAATAGGGAAGCCTGTGATTGGGTGACCAATAACCACTCACTGGAATAGAACCTGGGCTTGTGAGATAGGAGCTGATCAAGACCCAAGGACTTCAGAAGATGGAGCCTTTGCTTCCAGCTGGGTAATCCAGGAAGGCTTCCTAGAGGAGGGGTCTTGGTGTGGGCTTGAAGAATGGGTAAGATTTAGCTAATGGACAAAGAAAGTCAGAGGACAGGGGCCCAAGTACAGCAGAGAGCACTAGGGAAGGCTTCAGACAGCAAGAGTTTCATTGGGGAAGTAGCTGCTGTGGCCTAGGGTGGGTTGAATGTGGAGCTGGAGAAGGGAGCGGGAGGGGAGGCAGAACAAGCAGGGTTTGGAATCACCCTCCTTGGCCCCCACTAAGATGCATTCCCTTATTCCCCAGAATCATCTGGTGGCCTGGTCTCCAAAAGACCCCATGGAGGAGATGTGTCCCAGGAGGAATCTTAACTAAGATTCACTATCTGAGCCTCAGTTTCCCCATCTATAAAGAGGTCTTCAGTGACTTCCCGGGCAGGAAAGTGGGATGATGCCCCATGATCTGGAAATGGCACCAGAGGCGGGGTGGGAAAAGCCAACCCTGGCTTCCCTTGCCACCATGCCCCCAAACGGGGGCTCTGATCCCTCTCTTGTGTGGAGCTGGAGTAGACCCTGAGCAATGTGCAGGCCCTGGCAGTGTGCCACCTTGACCCAGGAGCAGCCTGCCAGCTCACTGGCCCACCCACCTGCCAGCCCACCCCTTGTCCTGCATTAAGCAATTTCCATTATCGCAAATGCCTGGCATTTTAGCCTGGTAATTACAGCTCCCACAACCCTGTGAGGATTAAGGCATGCTTAGAGAGTAGGGAGGACTCTGGTGGATGGAGAGAAACACCTGCAAATAGATCTGGAAGCCTGGTTGCCTCCTGCAGGTTTCAGGATCTGGGAAGGACTCAGTGGCCAGCGAGGATCACCCATGGAGCCTCTGAGGCAAAGGCCGTCAAGTCTGTCACCTCCAGCCTCTCTTCACCTCTCCACTCTGTCTTTTTAGGGAGCATCGTGTAGCGTCTCCTGTGCTCCTGCCACTGACCCCCACACATTTCCCTGCCTTGGAGAGTCTGAGGCAGAGCTCTGAGCTCTGAGCAGCCCTTGTCCCAGGCCAACCAGCGAAAACCGTCACCACTGTGGAGCCTAATCCATGCTCAGTCGTCCCCCAGAGGACCTAGACACCTCATGGGCTTTCATGGCCTCTCAGCTCTCGCTGAAATGACTTCTGTCCAGTTCTCTACTTGTCAAAACCCAGCCTGTCCTTCAAGGCCCAGGTGAGATGCCACGGCCTCCACGGAGTCTCTGCTAGCCCTGCTGGCCCTCTTGTACACACTTTACAACATATTGTCTCACCTAATCCTCATCCCGGCCCTGGCAGGTAGCCATTTTACAGCTGAGGAAACTGAGGCCCCAGGAGCTCACGCAGGCAAGAAGCAGAGCAGGCAGGACTACACTAGGGCCCTCTGGTCCTGAGGCGGCTCCTCCCTCAGCGCAGACACCGACACCTCCTGCAGCGTTCCTCAGGGCTGCTTTGTCCTGGGCACGGCTTCTGCCTCTCCACAGCCTCCCTACGAAACAGCAAGCTGCAGAGCTTCTCAACCTCAATCTGGTTCACCTGAGGGTTTTGTTAAAATGCAGATCCTGATTCAGCAGGACTGGGGTGGGGCCTGAGAGTCTGCATTTCTAAGATGCTCTCAGGTGTGACCAATGCTACAGATCTAAGCACGCATGCTGGGTAGGGGTTTAGGGTTTGGGTTAGGACAGGAAAGTCCTCCTGTTGTCATGGAGGCTCAGCAGATCTATGGCCTGTGAGAGCCGTTCTAAGCCTGGCCCTTCACTGCTCCCACCCTTCAGGAGCTGGGGTCACAGCTGCCCACTTTGACCTCTGGCGCTCCAGATAGGCTGGGCCCTGGCCTGCTCCTGACTTCCCTTCCAAATGAGATACAGAGACACTGGAAGCAGTCAGGACAGCCTAGACGCACCCTCCTTACAATATCCCCAAACATCCCTCCAAGCCCTGGCTCGGTGTTGCCCCTAGGGAATTCTTGCAGTTCTTCTAGAAACTGCTTTCCTGACCTGTGCAGTCCCATTAGAACTTACAGAGAGTGGTACAGATGATTCTGTTAACGTTGGCCCATCGTCACTCATGGGAGGAGGCACGAAAAGCTCTGGGCCTACAGTGGACACACCAATAGCTCCTGTGGACTTCTTTGGAGAGAGGCATCAGTGTGCCGAGACCCCCTTCCTTACCCCACAGGGTGAAAGGGAGTTGCCTCTCCTCTCCTCTTAAGGAAGGCTTCGAGAAAATGACTTGAAAGCACACCGTGTGGGTCCATGTTCAGGACTCACTTGCAGGAATCGCCCTGACTTGGCCTGGGAATGCCGAGATGTCACTGCTTTGGACGGGCTGCTAAGCAGACAGGCTGAGGTGGGAAAGAACTCCATAATGGGGGCAGTAGGGGGGGCGGGCGGCAAAGGTGTGTTCCATGGTTCAAATGTGGATCCTGCAAAAGAAGACTTATAAAAAGGGAAAGGGAGGGGGAAATTGGCTCTGCCAGACACAGGGGCAGGCAAGGGTCAGAGGCCAGCCCAGCAGGGACCTTGTCACCTGACTCAGGTGACATCACATAAGAGCAGGTGAGGGGGAGTCCCCATTGATGAGTGTGGGGAGTCAAGGCTTATGTTAGTCTAGTCTTGCCACTCACACTGTGAAAGAGGAGTAGAATTGTTCTCTTTCATCCAGAGACTGAGAAACAGTTAAGGGAAAGACAGAATTCACTGGGAAATAACAAGACAGTATAAAGCTACTTTCTGCTCGCACCTTATTGAATGGTGCTTGCTCAATAAACCAGCCCCCCTGGATGGAGCGGCCAAGTCCAGGGTCAGCCCTGGGGAGGTCATTCAACTTTAGGACATGGTTCTTAAGCTTTCTGGGGGAAAGCAGGCGGGGCGCTTTCCTAAGTTTGAGGCCACAGGGAAGGATATAGACCCTCTTCCCAGAAAATTACACACATGAACATGCTCACAAAGATTTCAATATAATTTGGGGGGCTACGGACCTTCTGAAGCCTACTCACAGGCTCCCTAGTGAATCTGCTCCGGGTCGGAGACCACCACCCATGCAAAGGGGCGTCAGCTGTACCTCATTCTTGCGGGCTTGGCGGTGGGCCATGGTTTCATTCTTGCTTCTGGGTCTCGGATAGAGTGGAGCAGGGCGTTGCTCCTCTTCCATTCCAGGAAGCCCCACGTAAGGGGCGTCAGACTGCACATGTACCTATGACTTGTCTTCTAGAAAAGTACTTTCGTAATCTGTTGGAACTGTTCTGCTCAAGCAAAGCTGAGAATATTTTGTGCTCGCTTCGGCAGCACATATACAAAGCTGAGAATATTTTGATTTCTGCAGCTCTGCCAATGGGACACTGGTCAGGAGGTTAAGTGAGTTTCATTGAAAAGACACACTTTTCCTCCCTGGGCTGATAAACAAGGCTACCGCAGGGAAACCGACTTCCTCTGCCCAGGCACTCGGCTTCAGGGGCCTGTCTCTAGCCAAGGAAAACAAATGCATAAACATTGCAGGGACATATAGGAAGCATTTCTGCGGGGCGCCTGCTGTGAATGGCCACTGGAGTTTACATAGCAAATCCCGCGGGGCCTCCGCACAGCCAGGACAAAACCTCTCACTTCCCCCCGCGGCTCCTCCCTGCCTCTCAGGACTACTACTCCGCGTGCCCAGCCCACAAGTGCACAAAACAGGCTCTTAGTTATCACCATCAAATGCCAGTTTTGACTCGGCATGCCTGGCACCTAAAGAGACAGAGTCTCCTGTTAGCCAGAACTGTAGAAAGATCACAGCCCCGGCTGCTTGTTTCCCGAGCCGAGAGACACGCGGAGGCTGGGCCAGCCTGCGGTCCGGATCAGGACAGACAAGGGAGGGGCGGTGCATAAACACCCACCTCTGCGGGCCCCACGCAGAGCGTCCGCCCAGGCACCAGCAGGACTCTGCAGGGGCGGGTACTGGACGGGGCTCCTGAGGACTCTGTCCTATGTCTCTCATAGCTTTTCACGTGGCAGCCTCGTGAAGGAGGCTCCTCCAGGTGGGTGCTCTGCTTCTGGGCACCCCCGCTCAGTCGTGTTGTAAGCAGCCTCTGCAGGGCTGTCCTTAACTTTGTTTTTGACCCAACTCTGACTCTCCTTTACCAGCCTCCCCCTGCATTTCTACACTTCCTCATATTCCTTTTTGAAACCAGTAAGATATAAATTAATGGGCTGAAGGACGCTCCAACTGTACAATTTTCCTTCCTGAGTCACCATGGACTTTTTCCCATTCCAGCCTCTCCCATCCTTACTCTGTAATGCAAGGTTCTCCACAGGCTCTCCCCACATGCCCTGTGGTAGCCACATGGGGAACACCCAGTGCCTCTGCTTATCCCATATTACTGCCCTCTGTGGGTGAAAGGTTCCTCTTTAGAAGGTTCTTTTCCACATATCCACCTGGCCAGGTCCAGCCTACCCTCCAGGTCCACCTGACCAACCTTACAGGGTCTTGCAGAGTCCTAAGAGTGCCCTGAGCTGGGCTTCCTGAGGGCTGTGTTAGATGGCACAGCTCATAGGGTCTGCTACCTGGGCTGCGCAGCAGAAGTCCAGCCTGGGACACCACCAGACCAGGAAGGAAGGAGTTGTGTGCCTGCAGAGACCCCTGTTAGGTGACTTCCCAGATAAAGGCAGGCCTTCAAGACTCTGGGACCCTCCACTATCATCATTCCCAGCCCAGACTTCCTGCTTCCTTTACACCAACAGAATAAATGAGTCTTGGCCCTTGGTATGGGTTTGAATCCTGCTTTATAGGAATCCAACTACCAGAAATAAGAATTTCCCGGCCAACTATATCAGAGTCACCCTGGCCATCCCCAGGGTCCCTGGGCCAATCATATCAGAGGTTTGGCAAGGGTATGGCCCTTTGAGGAGCAAGGGAGGGATCCAGACCAAAGGAGGCAGAGGCCCAGAGGTCTTCCTCCAGTCCTTGGCAGTCACAGCTCCACCAGGAGTGAGTGACTCGGTAGTACCCAGTGTCCTCATCATAGTCCTGGGTGGACCCTTCATAGAAGGGGCAGGGAGGTTCTGGATACTTCTGCAACAGTGCTGGCCCAGGTCAGGGTGACGCTCTTCCCGGAGATTTGTCCCTGAGGCCTGGGGCTCAGCTGTCACCCCCATGACGAGTGGTGGAGCCACAGGGCTTACCCACAGGAAGGGTCACAGGATGGGGTCTGAGCCGTTCCAGTTCACTGATGCCCCCTTCCACCTAAAGGGGATGATAACAGAAAGAGAGGGAAGAGTTAGAACTGTAGGGGCCCACACATCAGTGAGGAGTTCAGGTTTCACCCTCCCCTCCCACACATCAGTGAGGAGTTCAGGTTCCACCCTCCCCTCCACACACACACAAACCCACACACGAAGCCCTGGCAAAACACACATACACCCGGGGCCCAGGAGAGCAGGGGAGGGTACTAAAGGGCGGGTCACTCCTTCACTCATCTACTCATGCCACAGTGTTTACTGAACAGCTCCTTAGTGTCTGGTACAGAGGGAACTGCCGCTGATGTGAGTGATGGCCACACACCTGAATCCATGCACTTTCCAATGGAGCCTGATGGTGGCACTTTAAAGGCACCTGCTGGCACCTGCCTTTAAAATCCTGGCATTTTCAAGGTACAGAGGAGGTCCTTTCTGGAGCCCAGATGGGGAGGGAGTCAGGGGTAGCATGGGGTAGGGGGGCTGCATGGGGCTAGGAGGTCTTTTAAGGACTCTGAACTTTGCTCTGAGAGTCACAGGAAGCTAGTAAAGAGCTGTGAGCAGCTCCATAAAACAGAAATTTGCGTTTTCTTTCAAATTACTTTATAAAGCCTTAAGAAGCACTGATTATAATTAGATGGCAGTTCCGAGTTAGAGAAATGTAATAATAGCTCAATTCCAAAATAAAAGCTATTACAGGTAAGATGACAAAATTTTCCAACACTTAATGTTAACACATGACACTTAGTTTCTAAAAAACTCAAAGGAATCACCTTTAAAGCAAATGGTATATTTCTGCAAGGCTAGACCTAGGTGTAGCGTACACCCTAAGGCAGCACTAGAATGCGGAGTTTGAGACTGGGGTTTAGCAGGGCTTTGCATCGTGTGGCTTTTGGAGAGGGAGCAGACAATTTCAAAACTTGCAGTTTTTCTTCAGGACTGAAATCAAAATCCTAACTGTCAGAGGAGGAAAGAAGGAAAGTTTTTCTCACTTAATTGTACATGTGCATTAGAAAGTCCAATATCCCTGAGATTTGAACTGCAACAAGGAGCGAGGGATCAGGTTCTCCCAGGGGAAGATGGCAGCCCTTCCCCATTGAATGCCTGGAAACATCAAGAAGCTTCGCATAAACCCAGCATCCTCCAATTTCAGGAATAACATCAACTCGCACTGCATTTCTTTCTCCTTCCTTCCTCAGGCTTCTGTTCATTGCTTTCTTCACATCTGTGCCTTACTGGACTTGCCACAGCAAAGTCTCCGACCTTTAGGATGAGAGGGACAGCCTTCCAGGGGCAGTGGCTTTCATACTCATTCTGCTCTTATACCTTACACTCCTCTTGATTACAGGCAATGTCTTGGTATCTGACAGACCAGATTTCCCTTGTTGAATACTTTGCACTCTTTGCACCATTCCACCTCCCTTCAAATGAGCAAAAAGATGTCTTGCCATTTGGTGGGAAAGTCTTAGCAGTAATTCTGTACTTCTTGCTACCATACAAAGTTTTAGTGCAGGAGATGACATTTGCATTTAGCTCATTTGGGAACAATTTACAGTTGCATTTTCCTCCTAGCTCCAGCAAGGGCACAGTGAGAATAGATCTTCTCTAACCGCTGGAATGTTCATCAAAGCCTAGACACAAGACACTGCCCTGCCCTATGTTGTGCGTGCTGACTGACATCCCAGGAAATCTTTATCTGGTTCATGCATGAACACTGAATTGTATCTTCTTGTTAAAACAGTGGGCATAAAAGACTGAGGTGGGTGGATGATGGAAACCTGTTCAGCCAGGAATATTACACTGTTTTAGGAGACTGGTCCTTCCAAAACTAGCTGTGCCTTGTCTTTGGTATAATTTGGCAATGTTACAAGCTGCTGCAAGATCTCACTCCAAATGGGCTTGTATGGTCTTTTGGCAACCAATCCTTCTTTTTTTTTTCTGTGTGAAAGGCTGCAAGGTACCATTTCACCACTTGAACCATTTTATTCCTGGGATCTTTCTGATTATAAGCTCAGAGGCAGGACTAGATTTGCAAAAGAGCTTATACACATTTCTAGAAAAGGTCTTTTCTCAAGAGCAATTATTGGAAGAACTATCTCAGTGAGATACACTCCAAGCCCCACCTGGGATGAGATATGTGTGACCACATCCCTGTGTTCAGTCACAGACCAGGCCTCCCACCATCTGCCTAGGCATATATTCATATGAAATAGTCAGCATCACTTGTTCCACTGGATGTGGGAGAATAAAGTGGTATCTGAATTAAGTGGAGTCTGTGGTATCTGAGCACTTCTGACTATTTTGTGACTACTGGGAGCCAGGGCAGAGGCAGATGCAGAGGATCTGTTAGGTACTTTGGGGTTGAGCCATTTTGATGGATTCAGCAGCATCAGCATTAATTGTCACTGCTCAAAGAGACCCTGGGACTGCTTTTGGAGACAACTTGACGTGGCTGGGAGATATCAGGCTGCTCCGAAGTGGTGAGTGTCCATCAGCTGCACTGTTGGTATCGAAGCCTGATGTCCCAGCCAAGCTAACAGGTCTAGTCCGCAGGGAAGTCACACGTAGTTCTGACTTGCAGGAGTCAGACGGGCTGGGGAGGCCGTGTAGTGATCACAAGTTCCAAGGAATTAGGTTCATCTACTGTACCTACTGGTTAACAGTGCTTTAGTGATCTGCAGCAACACAACTGATGGCTTAATCGATGCTTCCATGCAACTTGAGAATTTCAATTTTCTTTCTCTGTTCATCATCTTTACACTTTTGAAGCTAGCTATTAAAAAGCTTTTACTGTTCTATTAAGATTAGACTGTGTGTTTACATTAGTAAACATTACCCTGTCTGTTTCTTACCAAGATCTTGGACACTAGGGACACGTCCTGAATCCAGACTCCCAAGGGCAGTAGCAGGAGGGGGGAGAGTAACATTCCCACCCACAGCCTGGCTCCACCAGGCCTCGAGAGCCAGATTACAGAGGGGAAACGATGGCCCGGACCTGGGTGGTTTCTTACTCCCTTTGATAGAGAGAATGAGGGAGGAGTGAGAACTAGATCAGACATCCTGTGTCCCTCTAAGACCCACCCTCAGCCTGGTCCCCCAGGCCCTTCTCCACCCCACTTCTTCCCTCCCAGGCTTCAGCCTCCCCTCCCAGATGGGCAGAGGAAAGCACCTCCTAAGAGCCCCTCATCTGCAAATGTCTCGAATCCTGGTAAAAAGGGATTTGGCTTCAGTGCAGAAGTGAGTCAGAGCTAGACATCCAAGTCACACCAAAAATCACTCAGGCTGTGGGGTTTATGCTGAATTTTGAGGTATTTTACAGAGATAATGAACCCACCCATTCTGGCCAACTGGAGAATGCTGGAAACACCAGACAGAAGCTGTTCCTAATTTCGAAAGAAAATCAAAGCACAGCCATCTTAAAAATGGAAAGGGCTGGGGCACAGGGACTACACGGGGGATAAATGGTTCCCAGGTAGAAAGGGCTCCCCCATAGAAAAGTTTCCTTGGTAGAAACTGTTCTGAAGATCCGAGTCCATTATAAGGAGAGCTCTGCCCATGTCAGTAGGGACGGGCAGAGAAAGGGGGAGGGAGTAAAGCAGCAGCGCAGCATCAAGCTCCCTCACTCATCCAGCGTTAATTCAGGGAGAGGCTGAGAGAGTGAGTTTACAGCAGGGCTCCTCTACCTGCGACTGCTGACATTTGAGGCTGGATAATTCTTTTGTGCTTTCTTGTGCCTTCATTATAGGATGTTTAGCAGCTTCCCTTACCCCCACCCCAAGCTGGGACCATTAAAAGGGTCCCCAGATATTGCCAAATCGCACCTGGGACTCAAAATTGTTCCCAGCTGAGGACCACTGGCTTCAAGCTCAATGAAGATGCAGGATCTTGAAGCTCCAAGGGGCTCAGTTGCATGGAGAGGTCCCATCTCACAGGCACGAATGAGGAGATTCCTTCCCCTCCCCCAGAGGCCATCAGCACACAGCACAGGTATTACCTGACTCAACATATTTTCAGCATTGATGGAACTGGAGTACTTCATGGGGGAAAGATGCCTGAGAGAGTTTACCAGCAAGAAGAGGACAGGCCTGGCTTTAAAGCCCCCAGAGCTGATGGTAGATATTCAGCCCAGAAGTCCTCTGCACACTTTGGATTTCCAGACAAATAGGCCTGTGTGCAAGTTTCCCTTCCTGTGTCCCAGCCACTGGGGTCAGAGTGGCTCTGGAGTGAGCCTATGGGCTGTCTTTCACCCATGGTCCCTGGCCTAGGCTTGCCCCCCACCTGGATTTCCGTCCTCCATCCTTCACCATTGCACCAAGAGTCCTCTGATCCCAGGCTGCCTGGGGGTCCTTCCTCAGCACCCTTGCCAGGCTCTCTGGCCATACTGTCATGGGGTTTCCCTCCCCTCTAGACCATGAGCCCCTCAAGGGCAGAGCTGCCTCCATCCCCTCCATGACCTCTGGCTCAGTGTCTGAAGTTTGTGCTCCAGGGGTGCTGCTGAATGAACCTCCATGCCAGGCCCAATGCTCTTGCCCCCTCTCTGCCTGTGCTCACATATGTGAGCCCCTTAGTGTCTCCAAAGAAAAGGAGATGATTCAGTACTCTCTCAACCTCAGACCTGCTCGGAGAAGGAATCATTCTACCCAACTAACAGATGGGGAAGCTAAAACAGAACCAGACCTTCCGTAGGTCATGCAACAGAAGGGACAATGGCAGAGCCAGGACTCCACTGAGGACTCCAGACTGCTGTTCTCTGCACCTGCCTGCATCATGGTGTTGAGTGTTCCATGAACCCACGCAGGGCAAGGAACACCGCGCAGGTGTGTACGGGCTACAGGCTGGGGCATCAGCAGAGCTTGGTTGGGGCTGTGGGACCCTCCTTCAGGGAGTGAGAGCATTGTGAACACAAAGCAAGAAGGGTGTCAGCAGAGGTGTGAAAGCTGGAACAGGCCTCAAAGACAGGCAGGGGATGGGGTTCTAGCCCCACACCCGAGACATTGTGCCCAGCTGAGAGTACATTTTCAATTTCTGATCTGAGCTCCCAAACAGAAACATCTGTGGCCCAGCCCCAGGCCCCGGTTATGAGTTCTTTCCTCTTTTTTCTGGACTGTTGACAACTGTTTCAATTTCTCCCACCATGGCTAGGCTGGAAGCTTGAGAGAGGTCACTGTGTGTGTCTTGTTTGGAAATGACCATAAATGAGTCTGTTTTTGTTGAGATGGCTAGAGACCAGCAGGGGGAGGAGGGTGGGGAACAGACCCCACATTCCTGATACAAGTGAAGGTAACAGGAGACTCTGTGAGGCAGAAACATGTGTCACAGCAGAGAGCAGAGACGGCACAGGACCCGGGGATGGTTCAAATTAGGATGCTCTTTTCTGAAGGCAAAACTGGCAGTCTGTCTTTGTGCAATGTCGCCGTGGCAACAAAGCCAGGTGGCAGGAAGTCACATTGCCCTCTCCATGACCTTCCACCGACTGGGACAATACAGGCCTAAGCTCCAGGCCATGACTCAAAGTGTGGCCGGGGCACAGACCTCCACCCCAGAGACTCTCATCCATGGAAGGAAGTGTCATCTAGGGTGGTGTCCACAGGCCATTCTGTGGACCCAAGCAAGTTGTCAGGCGGTCAGGTGTGCGACATGCTAGGTGTTGGGTCAGGGCGATTTACAGAGCAGGGTTTGAGGGTAAGCGGTGCATTTCGCCTTGGGTTAGAACATAGTTGCTCCTAAACTTGAGCTCTATTTAATTGCAAATTCCCTGAGAGCAAGAACCAAGTTTTATCCAGCTGTTTTTCCCATGGAGAAACCCAACCCAGTGGTTCTGTGAGGTTGAAATGATGAGAGGGGCCCCCCGCCTGCTCTCCAGGTTGGTCTGTCCTGCCCTGAGCACTCAGCTGCATCTCCACAGATGCTTAGAATCTGACTGGTCTTAGAAATGACCTGAACTCAGGCTGTGGCACCATGGGCACCCCCTTCCTGTCAATGTGGGGACCACCCTGGCGAGCAGGACATAGCCCCCAAGAGGCAGGGCCCATCTCCAGTGGGTCCCCACTGACCTTGCAGGCCACTTTCCCAAGTTTCTCCCTTTGAGCTGTTTGAGAATCTGGGATGAAAACAAAATGCAAAGCCTTTGTAATCCAACCCCTTGGAACAGGATTCCAGAAGGCTGGGCTGCTGTTTCCCATTACAGCAGTGTGCTATCTGATGGGAGCACGGGGGAAAGCCCAGCATTCCCACAATTCATTCACCCACTCGGCCTTTCTGGGAATAACGCTAGGCAAGTCTCATCATGTCAGCTGCCCAGGTGGACCGACCATGTGGACTAGTGGAAGAGGCAGGTGGCTGGATGCAGGGATGTCCCAGCCAAAAAGGAGCATTCATACCTGGGGGGTGGGCGGAGGAAGGGGAGCAGCGGTGGAACCAGGAAGATAGTGGCCCGTCTGGTATGTTACGGGAGCAGGACCAGACAGGAGGGGCAGCGCTTCAACGCCTGCTCTCACAAGACTGCCAGGGATGAAGGAGGAACAGGCACTGCCCTCGCCGGGTTCTCAAGACTGATCTCTGGACAGCAGCACCAGCATCACCTGGGAACTATTCAGCAGTGCCAGTTTTCAGGCTCCACCGCAGCCCTGCTGAATCAGAATCCTTGGGGGCGGATCCAGTGAGCTGTTACCATGCCCACCAGATAATGCCACTAAAGCCGAAGACCATGTTCTAGAGAAAATCTTCCCAAGAGCAGAGCGTGGACAGGTGCACAGCCAAAGCAAAGCTGGCCGCTGTTGTCCCCAACCCCGTATGCTGCATAAATAGAATGACTTTTCTGTGTGACGAGGACTGAAGAAGCCTGTGGGAGGGAAAGCTGGGCTCAATTTCTCCATGCTTCTCCTGTGACAGTGAGCAGGGACCAGTGCAGGGGACGCAGCCTGGACCATCTGCCCCAGCCAAGGGCTTACTCGTGATGCTGGCAGCCTATCCAGCTTCTCCATCATTTCACTGTCACCTGTTGGCACATGGCTGGGGAGGGGAGCCAGGCCTGGGAGAAGGGGACAGCTGACAGAAGTGGAAGAGGAGCTTTGGGCCTATATTCACACTCAGATGTCTTTGCATTGAGCTTACTATCACATCGGCTCTAGGCAAGGGGCTGCATTGGGAACACATCAGAGCCCAAAGCCATTCTCAAACAATTGCCAATTAGGGCTGAGCCCAAGCAGTCCAATCCCTGAGGCCTACCATGGGATAGTCCTTGGGGAAAGAGGAGTTAGCCCAGATGGGGCAGCTGAAGAGGTCTGGGTGGTGAGCTGACCCTGGAAGGAGTACAGAGACAGGTGGACGCCTTCGGCGAGGGGTCCAGAGGTGGGTGGATCTGTGCCCAAGGTGCAGTCCAGAGCCTGCTTGGCAGGCCCGCCTGCAGGAAGGATGTCCTGTGACCTCCCACCCTGTCCTGCAGAAGGTGCCAAGGCCGATGTCACCTCCTTTCTCCACCGCTGCCCTTCTCTCATCACTTTGAATGAGTGGCCCTTTGTACATGAAAGGAAAGCGACCTGCATGTGCCTTTAAGCCTCCCGACGAAAGAAAGGCCGGTACATGACCCCACAAGAATGTATTGTCCCTGGTCCCGTGGGCAGAAAGACGGACACACGGACAGATGGATGTAAGGACGGGGCAAAATGAGGATGTCTCAACTTGTCCTCCTTGGAGTTTCTACTATGTTCCTAGAGTCCTCTTTCTTTCTGTGGCTCCCTTCAACACCCCCCTCTTTCCAATCCTGCTCAAGCCCCCACTCTGCCCCCGCCAGGTAAATGGACTTGTCTTTCCTTCATTGGGCCGAACTGCACCCACCATACATGTGTGCTGCCGCCTTGTGTGAGGAGGGGCCTCCAGAGACGCCCCCGACCACCACCATCACAGGAAAAGCTCAGAAAGTGAAAACACATCTCACCATAAATCACACACTTCTCCACCTGGGCCAGAGTGGCCACAGGATGCTACATGTGCACAAGCCCTTAGCACTGTGTCTTTCCACTTGTGCAGGTCTCAACCTCATCACCCTGCTCTGAGTTGGCATGACCCAGAAACCTGTCCTCCTGCAGGCCTGACACCTCTCTTCCCCAACACCACACCTCCCAGCAACTCAGGACAGGTTCAAGAGCTGGAGACAGGCCTGACTTACTTAGTCCTGATGCAGAGTTCCAGGGGTGGAACGAGGTCATTGTCGCTGTCCTCAGGGACTGTCTGGGTGGTGTCTGGGGAGGTGGGAGAGAGAGCCACATGTTTGTCAGCCCAGGGCCCCCACTCATAACCCAGCCCCAGTACCCGATTCTTCTGCTGCCTGACCCCTCGTCTCATCTGGAATGGACACCCTTCCTGCTCTGTGCAGAATCTCACCTGGACACCACAGCACCTGCCTCACTGGCCTCCTACCTCCAGTCTCTACCCACCTTCTTGCCCCCTTCAGCTATCAGAATATTCTTTCTAAAATCCTATCTGATCCTATCACTCCTCTAGCCCATAAGGGAGCTTCCATGGCTTTCCACTACCCGGGAAATAAAACCCAAACTTGTCAGTGCAGTATTGGGGGGCTCTCCACTGTGTGTTCTCAACTCCACCTTACACCTTAACACCCCCCCTTTCTGAGGCCTTCACTCCAGCCCCTCCTGCAGGAGGACCTGCTCACACTTGCCCTGAGTCCCCCTCCAGATGCTGGAGTCTGCTTTGTCCCCTGACTGCCCTAGGGGGCTTGCCAAGACGTTTCCCCAGCCAGCTTAGAGGCGCCTGGAGGATACATGGGATGGGTGGAGAGGCAGCGCACCCACAGTCAGCCGAATCTGCTCCTGCTGGTTGGCCAGGCCATCATAATAGTACAGGTCGAAGAGCCTCTCGGTCCGCCAGTCTCGCAGGAGCTCCGGCTGCAGGCTGAAGAGGACACTGAAGTGGCTCTCGCTGCACACCACCCAGATGGGGAACCTCGGCGTCTTCAGGAAGCAGCCGACCTGGGTGAGGAGTGTGGAGAGGACAGAGATGCCCGATGCTGCATGCGGTCCCCAGGGAAAGGGGCCAGAGCATCTCCTTCTGCCCAACCCCAGGGCTGGGCAGACCCAGAAAGGCTCTGTTGGGGATCACAGCCTGTGTGTGAAACTGGGGGCCTCTCAAACTTCTCACAGACACAGGCCTGACTCCAGAGCCTTTCTCACACAGACAATCAGAGATGCCTGAAACCCCGGCATCACGCCTCCCCTTCTCCCACATCCAGTGGCACACAGGGCTGCCCACCCTGCCTTGACCGTCCCCTCACACCAGCGTCTCCTCCTGAGACAATCCCCTAACAGGCTCTTCCCAGACTCTGCTCTCCCTTCAGTCCCACAGAACCTCCAAGCTGCCTTCAAACTAATCCGCACAGCACAGCAAGTCTGCTCGCTGTGCCTGCGCTGTCCACCACCTAGCGTGCTCGCGCCTCTCCTCCCCCAAGTCACCCAACCAGAGAGCATGAGCCACTTCCTCCTTCTAGCTCTGGGGGGAGGGGACTGTGTCTAGGTACTAGGTAACACACCCCCCCCCCCCCCCCCCGCCACTGCCACCAGGGTGCCTCACTCTGCTGCTTACGTGCTGGACTATAGCGGAGCACCTAGAGCCAGGAGTCTAATAGAAGCAAACACTTGACAGATGAAGGTCCTTGTGAACAGACTTGTGGACCCTGAACTTGAACTAAGACTTTACCTTGAAATCAGGTGGAACTTGAAGTTATCAAGAGAAGAGAGGGAGATACCAGGAACAAATGTCCAGAGACATTCAGGGAATAGCAGGAAAATTCGAAAAAAAGAACAAGGAAGAAGGCAAAGAGTTGGGACTTCCTTCTAATGAGGGACTTTCTTGGACAATTCCCAGCAGAGGACAGTCAGTGGAAGGGGGGTGTTCGGGGAAGACCGGTGCTGCTGTGGTTCTGCCTGCACAGGGGAGAGGCGTGACAGGGCCTCTGAAGCCAACTCGGGCACCTGGGGTCTCTGCCCCTCCACTGGCCAGTCCTCAATCCCTTCTCTCCCTGCCACCTGTGACTCACTTGGGCAGCACCTCTCCCCACCTGGGCCTGGCTTTTTTTGGCTCTTTCTGTGTCACAGGCCAGGCTGGCTCCAGGCTAATCCTCATCAGCCCCAGGGAGATGTTTGCATGCTCAGGTATTTACAGCACAGCATGTAGATTAAGGAAAGAATGGGAATTATTTTTCCAGTGGGGAGAAGGGCCAGTCACACAAGAGTGGCTGGGCCACCTTCCTCAGGCCCCTCGTAGCTGACTGGGAGCTGACTATGGAAAAGGGGCAGCTCAGATGGAGGGGCTGTGTTCAGCCAGGCCTGAAGCACATTTGTGGTGAAGACTGACCCAGAGGGTAGGAGGGTGATGTTCACAACGTCTTCATCATTTTCTCATTGTCCAAGCGCCTTGCCTCTGCCCCCACCAGGCTAGTTGGGGCCTCACCCCGCCCCCAGGTGACATTAAAACTTGACTGCAGAGCTTGCTACTCGGTGGGATGTAGGAGAATTACATAGCACGTGGCTGGACTAAACCCCAATGCAAACTTGGCTTCCGTTCCAGGCTCAAAAGAGGCTTTTCTGGTAAGGGCATCGCCTTGAACAGGCAGCCTGAAAGACTGGGGATCCAGTGCTCATTCACCACAGGAAAAAGAGCCCACAGCAGGCATCTGCATAATCAGTCACCCTGAATTTTCCAGCAGAGGGACAAAAGGGCAGCTTGTCATTTATACAACAGTCAAAAGATTACGGGTAAAAATGCTGCCCAGAGAGTTTATAAATGAGTTTTGTCATTCAAGAGCCCCTTCTAAGTGGGGTACATTTTCCAAATAAAATTTGCTTCCTTTGGATTTTTGGGTAGCTGTCCAAAGGCCTGGGGCATGGAGGGAGGGCGGGGGGCACATTTCCTCCTGCACATTCTGAGTTTTTCCTGGTGGGCAATCATGCAGCACAATTAGAGAGCACTTATAAATGGAGATTCTTATATCTTCTGGGCAGGGGTGAATGCCCCAAACTGGGCCCTGGACAGCCAGATGAGAATGTCTAATTTAAAAGTATCAGCATCTGATTACAAGCAGAGTTACAATCTGTCCTTACTAAGCATAATGTCCACTCCACATAAGTTATGCTTTGGTCCCAGGCACCAGGCAAGTTAGTGTGGCCATACCAGGGAAGGATACATGAGCAGTCTCGTCCTCACCGGGCTTACGAGATAAAAGGGCAAGACAGAGAGAACCAAGTAATCATACAGATGCATTTGCACTGCACGTCACTCAATCTAGGATACCATCAGATTGGCGATTTTTTGTATCACTGCAAAAAAAAAAAAAAATAACTGGTATTGTAAGACTGACATGCAGACTGCAATAATGCATCCAGATTTCAGAAATGTTTAAATATGGTGTAAGTCTGCATCACAAAAGCAATGAAATGTGATACTTGAAACCAAGAATGAAGATTCTGTGTTGGAGAATGACAAGGTGGGTAAGGGGCAACTGGAGGGAGCCCCAGTATTTAGGGCCCCAATGTTTAGAGCCCCAATGATGAGGTCAGGAAAGGGCTTCCACTTTGAAAGTAAAATTTAATCCAAAGCGTGGAGGGAAAAGCAGAGCAGGTGGAAGATTCAAGGATTCAGATCAACACAGGGGCCAGAATTTCTCCAATCATCACTTTATTCCAAGGGAAGGATGACCCCCAACTGCTATTCCCATAAATTACCCTCAACACACCAGAGTAAAATAGTTTACTTTGTGACCAACGCCCGTGACACAAGAATGAAACCAAGACACATGGTAAGCCTGCGGACTCCATGAGCACAGCCAGGAGTCAGCCAGTGGAAGTCCAGGCTGACTGCTTTCAGAGCCCACCGAGGGTCTGACATTCTGGGGCCCTGGTTCTTTCACAGGTCATGGGGCATATTCCCAGGCTTCCTCCTACCACCAGCACATCTGGGAAGGAGTCACTTCTGTGCTTTTCTCTCCAAGTCTTTGAAACTTTCAAGTCTGGGAAAGGGGTTACTCAGAGAGGAGGCCTGGGGATGGGTCCAAGCCACATGGCCCACTAGCACCAGGACGACATACTGAACATGTGGTCAGAAAGGCTGTGGGGAAGCTGAGTCCTGCTTTAAAATGCCATTCTCCACCCGCCCTGTAAATCCATTTGCCCAGTACTCTCTGAGCATCCCCTGGGTCAATCTCTGCATCCCTCGTTCTGGGGCTACACTGTAAGTGAGGCCTCATCCATACCCTCTAAAAACCTTCACAGGCATGGCCACCATATAAACAACTCTTACTACCCCTCGGGACACCTGTTTCATATAAAAACCATGAAACAATGTCTGCCCTGAAGACATGGAAACAAGCCCAGTGGAAATTCAGCAGCAGGTTGAGACAAGTGCTGCCCAGAGACAGTCACCCATGTGCCCCACGTCACCTGGAGTTCCAGGCCTTCTTGAGACCTTGGCTGCAGGGAGAGAGAAGGTAAAGGGACAGATGCATTGACAAACAGACTGAGGGAAGCCTGTTAGGGTTGAATAATGTACTCCCAAAAGCTACATTGAAGGCCTGGCTCCCAGTACCTCAGAATATGATGTTATTTGGAAGCAGGATTGTTGCAGATATAGTTAGTTAAAATGAGGTTAGTGGAGAAGGTGGGCTCTTAATCCAAGCTGACTGATGTCCTTCTAGGAAAAGGACAAGGCACACAGGGACAAGATGGCCACACGAAGACAGAAGCAGAGATTGGAGTGATGGAGCTACAAGCCAAGCAATGTGAAAGATTTCCAGAAAACACCAAAAGCTACAGAAGACAAGTAAGGATTCTCCCAACAGGTTTCAGAGGGTGCACATTCTCACTGACACCTTGACTTTGCTGTCATGAGAACTTCTGCTTCAGAACTATGAGATGGTACATTTCTATTGTTTTACACCACCCTGTTTGTGGTGCTTTGTTGTGGCAGTCCTAAAAATCCAAAACAAAGCCTAAGGCTTCAAGGCCACTGTCCCTGGAGAAACCTACCCACCTCCAACACGCACACACACACACACACACATATACATATACACACGCATGCACACTCCACAGTGGTAGCCACGCTCACACCAAATCACCTCACAAGTCCCTAGAAGTCCCTTTTAAATCATCTTTCCCAGAACACAGTATCAGCCGATCTTGGATGTGAATTATGTGCCCCCACCTGATGAAGGTGAAGTTGAACTTCTTCCCAAGATCCCCTTTGATTGAGACTGAACCGAATTCCCACCAGCTCTGGGCACTGGAATGAGCTTTCCTCCCCTGCCTGTGTGAGGGCTGATCCCAGGAGCGGGGCTCCTGACTTGGCAGACCTGCGCTCTGGGTACCTGGCACACGTTGTAGTGCTCAAAGAGAGACAAGAAGCCGATGTCGCTGCGCGCTGCGATGCCTTTGAGGAGTGTGATGCTCCCGTTCCCAGAATCCAGCTCAAGCACGTCGTTGAAAACATTGGACACGGCTCTCCCAGTAAGGAGCAGATTGACAAGTTCCTGTTGATGAGAGAAAGGGGAAAGGCTTGTCGAGCCTCTGAATGAGCTACTGAAGGGGTGGAAGGGAGATTGGGAACAAGAAACAAAGGAAGGAAAGCAAGGAGAGAGACCAAAATCAGAGAGGATTGTGACTTCTGTGTTCCCACAAGCCATCGGGGGAAAGCTGCCAGCATTTACGATCACACTCACCAGTCTTATTCCCCAGCACTGACGGGGCTCCCGCTGTGCACAGGCCCATCCCTGGGCCCTGGTGGGTGGGGAAAGGGGGGGGGGTCCTTTGGATGGGAAAAAAAAGGCTCCTGACCTCAGGCATTGAGGTCAGAGTGGGGGTCAGGTAAAGCACAATGTAGGATGTGACTGGGGTTAGAAAAATGTGCACCAAGCACTTCAGGTCCAGACAGACATGGGCCCACAGGACTGAGTCAGAGCAGAGCCGCTTTGTGAAGCAGTGACCTTTGGGTGGGTCTTAAAGGAGGGTAATTTTTAAAATAAACTTCTATTTTGAAATAACTTTAGACTCAAAAGAAATTGTATAAATAGTACAGAGAGTTCCTGTGTACCCTTCACCCAGCTTCCCCCAATGATAACATCTTAGATCCAGGGCACATTATCAACACCAGGAAGCTGACAGTGGTGCAAGACCAATAACTCAACTCCAGGCCTGATTCAGATTTCACTGATGGTGGTGGGTCATCAAGTGGGAAGGGAGGGCAGAAGACAGCAGAGTAGTGACATAGAGGCAGAGGAGACTATGTCTGGGTTCTAGCTATCTCTGCCTTCACTGGATGTGTGGCTTGTGCCACCCGGAGGGCAGGTCAAGCCTGCCAGTCCCTGAGCCGGGACACATGGCGCTTGCTTCTCAGGAGTTCTCCTTCAGCTGGAGCCTCCTACATCAAGGTGGCAGGCAGGGACCTTCCTTATTCAGGGCATCAGGGGAACAACTTTCTCTTAGGAATGAGGAAACTGAGGCTCACAGATGGAAATGGACTTTCCCCATCCACAGAGCTACACTTCCCCCACATTCTCTGGCTCCCCATCCAGGGGTACCATCCAGGGGTACCACCTGGACAAAGATTCAGTCTTGAATCTTTTTCTATCAAGTTGAAGACTACCACTAAGGAGGGATTCAAGCAAGCATAACATTAGGGCTTAGGCAGGCGGGACCTTCTCTCTAGGCCACCTTCTGCAGGGCTGTGAGTGAGGTCAGCAGGCAGGAATCTGCCTCCAGGCACGTAGAATGACCATAGTAGTCCTTTCCTCAGCCCTTCCTCTGGAGGGCAGAGTTCATCGAAGAGTTTCCCCCCCAAGATGTGAGAGCCATGCCCAGGGTTAATACAGCCCTCCGTCAACACCAACACCCCTGCCCCAGTGACAGTAAAAGAGGCCTCCTCTGATGGCCACAGAGGGACCCCCCATTGGAGGGAGATATCGACTCATTGTGTCCTTGCAGAGGAAATGAGAATAGAATTTGGAGGAAATGACTGCTATGAGATACTGCACCACAGGGGCAGTGGCTACGAGAGCAGGCTTGGCCTTTTCTAGATAGGTTCCAGGTTTTTAAGGGGGGTAGGGGCGAAGGCATTGCTCCCCATCTGGGATGTGTCTTAACCTTCCTCAAAGCAGGAAGCCTTTGATAAATGGGGGGGGGGGGGTAAGAGGCAACAGGCTGCTTCTTGCCCCTAAGCATAAATGACACTGGCAAAGTTTAGTGGCCATCCAGTCCCTTGTCACCCAAGGAATGGTCTGTGGGCCAGTGGCATTGTCCTCCTGGGGAGCCTGTTAGCAATTCTGAATAACTTGGGCCCAGCCCACTATATCTGAGTCTGCTCTTAAAAAGAGCCCTGGGGGACACCTGTGCATACCAGTGTCTAAGAAGCACCAGTCTAGTACAAATGGGGAAACTGAGGTTTGGGGGAGAAGAAAATGACCTTAGCTCATTTCCAAACAAAGTGGCAAATACAGCTCTGAATCTAGTTCCAGACTCCATCTAGCACCCTCTGCACCCGGTTTAACAGCCCACCCCTCGGTTGCATCATTCTCCGTCTGCCCACAGACTCACACAAAACAAGCAAGCAAACAAAAACAGTCTTCTAGAGCAGAGCTGACAAACAAACAAACAAAAACAGCCTTCTAGAGCAGAGCTGAACCGCCCCAGGCAGCTGTTCATCATGAGGCCTTCCTCGAGAGAGAGCTAGCACCACAGTCCCTCGGGTGCCCCGTACAAACTACAAGCCCTGAGCTGCTCCCTGCATGATGGCCTGGTATGCTTTCAGGGTTGGCATAAGTGAGCCAGGACCCCAAGGACAAGTGGGTCCTCAGCTGGGTCCAGGAGACTGAGCAGCTCTGTCCGGTCTGACTGTGCTACAAGGCTGCCCCAGGCTGTGCTGAGGGTCAGATTAAACTATGACCCAGTGGCCACTCCAGGAGGCCTTGCTTTCTGGAGAAAGGCAGAAACCAGACGCAGGATTTGACTCCCAGTCTTGACATTTACCCCAGTGATATCACTGGGTTACTAGAGGATCAATGAAAAGCTATTGTACTAGGGGTGAACCCTGCCCTGTGAGGCTCTTTGAGGACCCATTTGTGAAGAGGCAGAGGGAAGGGTTATAAAGATAAAGTCCTGTGCAAACATAAGTGGTGCTCCCAGCTGGACCCACCCTCCCACCCCTCGTGCCCAGGGCTCTGGGCCGGGCAACACCTGGGTTGGCTGTCAGCATCTATTCCATCTCTGCAGCACCAAGCACACACAGATTGGGCACGGTAAATTCTCCAGAAACAGCTAAACTGAATTCTCTTTGTAGGTCTCCACAATGGTGAAACCCAACAGAAGCGGCACCGAAAGATGCCTAGAGAATGCTGGCAGGGCCCAAGAGAGAATGAAAGAGGGAACAAAAGGGCCCACTGCACCCCCTGACCTGTGTGCAGTATCCATGTGCTCCAATCAGGTGGTTGGTGGGCTCATCGAAGTCCTGGCGGACACTGGAAAACACAGAAGCAGCAGAGTTAGCACAGCTCTGCCTGACTGGGGCTTTTAAGGCAAACTTTGCTGGGTGACCAGGGACTCCCCTGGTGTGCAGGCTGAGGCTAAGAATTCCAGATTCGGTGGGAACCTTAGTTCTGTGCCTTTCATGGAAGGGGCTCCTATCCAGAAGGGCTTGGGGCTACAGCCCAGGGCTCCTTGAGTCCTGCTCACTATCCCGGGCAACAGACTCCACTCCAGCTTCACGAGGTCCTCTGCTGACACCCAGGCAATGGCGAAGGGAGGGTGACACAGCAGAAGGTCCTGGGCTTAGATTCCAACATCCTGCATCCCTATCCCAACCCTCGCTAACTAATGCTGGGGATTGGTTCACCTCCTTCGCCCACTCCCTGCCATCTCCACGTCTCAGTTTGCCAGTCTGTTAAATGAGAAGAACGGTCTCTGATAGCACCTCGAACCCTAAAATAATAGGCACCACCTAAACACAGAACACGCACTCTTCTTAGCCCGAGAGAAAACCAAGGCTCAGAGGACTGGCTTGCCCGGCAGGCGGGCCTTCATGAGCAATAGGGTAGAAGGGGGAACCGGCGGCCAGCCTCAGAGGCCTGCATGCTCCCCTATGCTAGTTTATCAGTGTGGCTCCACCCTTGGAATGGGGTTCTCAAAAAGCCACAGTGTAAAAAGCCCCTGAGCCAAAAGAAATCCCTCAAAACAAAAGAAATGGATTTCTAGGACTATGCTGTTGGGGACCAGAACAATTCAGAGCATCCTGGTAGCCCTGTCCATGTGAGGTCAGCACCAAGAGGAAAATAAACCAACCAACCCTGAATCTCGAGACCCTCCTACCACCTAGGAAGTCCATTAGCACATGATTCCCCTTCTCTCTCCTAAAAAAACTCCCTCAGGACTTGTAAACAGTCGTGAAGGAGTGTACAGGAAAGGAGCTGCCATCGAGGGACACATTCAGAGGGTGGCGATTTCAGCCCCCAGCCCCCCAGGCACTCAGCCCCTGGAGAAGGGCCCCCCCACTCCGGGCCCCTCAGCCCCTCGACTTTATAGATATGGAAAGATGCGACACCAGGGGTGCAATGACAGGGTAGGGAGCTGCCCCCAGCCCTCCAGCACATGGCCCAGGGCATGCAGCCCACCCAGCCTGTGCTCAAGTGTGGTCTGTCTGCTTCATCCCAAAGACAGCACCAAGCAGCAGCCCAGAGGTAGGAAGGACTTAGCAATCATGACCTTTTGTTTTTCCTCTTCGTGGAAGAAAATAGAAACCTGGTCTCAATTTTATGCTTTACATCTAAGATGTGCCGTGAATCCACAAACCTAACACACGGGTAACCCTGGTCCCTGTGCCCTTCCCAAAGGATACTCAGAAACTCAAGCTCCGTGACCTCTGCAGGAACAAAGCTTTCTTGTGGTTTTTAACAGCCGTGGTCAAACAGGATGGTTTGCAGCCCACATGAGAAGGCAGGCGCTGGGGCTGGCGTGGTGCAGGGGTGCAGCCGAGAGTCACAGACCTGGGATCTTCAGGAAGGGCTTTAGGGGCTGGCCTGCCCCACATAGCCCAGTATGCCTGGGAAGGAGCCGGCTCGGGGGACGAATGGCCGAGGGCAGCACTGGGCTGGCACCAGCTCAGGCAGAAGAATTGATGGAAACACTCTCCGCAGCATATACAGGCATCTTCTGAAGAGAAGAAAATAACCTCAAAGGAGCCCTGGGTGGACTGATAAGTATCGCTGGCCCGGAGCCAGTCCGAAGCTTTCAGAAGCAGTCTGATCTTCATAAACTCACAGCCTCGTGTTCACCCAGCGGGTTTGAGAGCCTGCGTCAGCTGAGAGCAGAGGGACAGGCAGAAAGGACAATGGGAGGAAATGGTAATTGCATCCTTAGGTGCAAACACGATGGGAAATTCAGAAGTGAGCTCGAATCTTAAAAGGGAGGAACATCTGTATTTCACATTAGGCCATTCGGGAGACGCCAAGGAGCAGCTTATGGCTTAAGAGATTTACAACTTTGGCAAATCTAGATGCCCAGACCTCCCTCTAGGGGAATTCCCCAGAGAGCTGAGTGTCAGAAGCCTTTGAGCAAAGGAACAACAGTCTCTGCTCTGCCCAGAGAGAAGGCAGCTCACAGCAGGGCCGTCACCAGGCCCTACTTTGGGCCTGGGTTTGATGAGTGAGTGCAAACCTCTCCTCTTTGGGCCTCAATCTCCCCTTTTTACAACATGAAGGACCTGCATGCATGAATGTTGCTATGGGCAAAACAGTGCCCCCCCCCCCATTCATATGTTGAAGCCCTAAATCTTACTGCCTTAGAATGTGTCTACATTTGGAAATAGTCTTTCAAGGGATGATTAAGCTAAACAAGGCAGCCTTTGGGGTGGACCCTAATCCAATCTGACTGTTGTCCTTTTAAGAAGAGGAAATTGGGGGACAGAGGAATACCAGTGATGCATACACACAGAGGACAGACTGCATGAGGACACAGTGAGAAGGCTGCCGTCTGCAAGCCAAGGAGAGAGGCCTGGAACAAACAAATGCTGCCAACACCTTGGATTTCCAGCCTCCAGAACCATGAGACGATAGAGTTGTGTAGTATAAACCACTGGACTATGGTACTTTGTTACAGCGGTCTTTGTAATGTAGGACAAGTGGCCCTCAACATCTTTCTAGGATTCAGAGCCTTCTCTTCAACTGGGATCGAATATCCAGAACAGCTAGGTCTCCAAAGTCATGCAGCCAAGAGCAGAAGAAGCTGCCTGAGCTCTGAGGTCCCGGCATGTCCTGGGCTGGAGCTGCAGGCTGTGACAGGCTCTTCCCAGGGACTAAAGACCATTCCAGCCTACGGGCGAAGAGGCCCCTTCCACAGTCTTCCTGGAAGCTGGACAACCCTGGGTCCCAAGAGAATTTCATGCTGTCTGAGGAAGCATCCCCAGGCTGGGTGATAGGCGTCCAGGCCTGCATGACTAAGCATGTCCCCAGAAGGCCTCCTGCACTAGGAACCCCTCTAGGAAGCAGGGGCTCACCTAGATTTCAGATTCCAAGAAGCACAAAGTGGAGGAGCCTGATGGACTTGACTGGGACATGGAAAGTTATGAGGAGGAAGGGCTTGGCCCTGACTAAGCCGCTGCCCCTCTGCTGAGCATTCTGGGAACATAGGGCCAGAACCTGGACCAGTAGTTTCTAAGTGATGGCCCAGGCTTGGGGGTATCCAGCGCATCCATTGATGGGGTGGTGGGGGGGAATCAGAGAGCTCTGGCCCTGATGTCAGCAAGGACTGCTTCCCAGCTCTGGCCCCATCAGAAGCTCCCAGAGACTCTGAGGAACAAGAAACAGGACAAAGCGGGCAGCGGCCTCACAGAGCCCTAAGGGTTCAGCATATTGTTGATCGGGAAATGCCTAGAGAAAGAACACGACTGGCCTCAGGCTAGTGAAGAGGTCAGCCAGCTTCAGTGCCCAATGCTGGGTGGAAGTTTGGCTGCCTCCCTCCAGTCCGCCCTTCGTCACACACCTCAAGGCACAGATTCTGCCACTGAGCAGACTCACAAAGGTCTCAGACCCACCCACGTTCCTCTCCATAACCTCAAGAATGCAGGGGGGCAAGAACCACTGTTTCATCGATAGGGAAGCTGAGGCCCAGAAAGGAGAAGGAATGTGTGGTCTTGGGGTCCCACAGCCAGCAGGTCATCACTAGACCCCAGCACCAACGTCACAGTGTCGGCGATGGCCTGAAACACGTGACGGCAACCTGGGTGGCCAGTTCCACGCAGGTCCAGGAGCCCTTAAGTCCCACTCCTGGTCCCCACCCTGTGGCTGGGACACAGCTTGTCTCTTGACCCTAAAGTCTCCCCCCATGTGTCTAAACATGTGAATCTGGGCATTTTGTACAGAAGTTTCTGAATGAGAAAAAAAATATGTCCGAGTAGCCTAGAGTCAGGGTTCCAGCTACGGTCACAGCCTTTCGTTTCAGCAAGTCCCTGCCTTTCTCTCAGCCCGTGCCCTCATATAAAGCCAGAGAACTGGAGCAAGGGGTCTCTGGGGAGCTTCTAGAATGTGAACGAGTATGCCTGGTCCATGACTCTGATAGTTAAAACATCAAGCCTAAAACAGGCAGGAATTAACCTGGGAGGACTCGCCAGCCACCTCCCTTCCACCTGACCTTAAGGGCACCAGCCAGAGGCACCACCATGTGCCGCTGGGCCAGCTTCTCTCTGTCCCTCCTGCCACCCCTGCATCACAGGCCAGGCCTTCCCGTGCATCCCAACCACTTGCAGCCACCTCCAGAGACAACCCTTTGTTTGGAGGGATTTTTAATGACTTTTGAGGACAACATCAATAGTGACAAGTGCAGTTGTGACACAACCAAGAGAACTGGGGCTCAGAAGTCGGGGAGTCCTGCCTGGATTCAAATCCAGCTGCTGCTGCTTCCTTAGTGCGCCCTTTCTGAGCCTCAGTTTCCCCACTTGCAATATGGGTATGATGATGCCTCTTTCTATTACAGATTGCTGTGAGAACTGAATGAGATGAACTATATAAAGCATTTGGCATTCGGTAAATGTCACTTCCTTTTTCCTACGATAACAACAATAATAAAATTTAAAAAAACAATGACTGAGAGGTCACGATTCCTGCAACCTCAACCATTCGTATCACGGCCAAGAACCCAGAATAAACGGTGGCCTCTGAGAGGTCGAAATGTAACCATGAATATTTGAAAAGGATTTGAACTCAGCAGATACTGTCTGTTTTCCCAGGAAGGCTGACAAGGAGTGGACAATGAGTCAAAACACATGGTTGTCAGGGCTCTTATGCCACCTGCACTATGTGACCTTCGGCAACTGGCTTCTGTCTCTGAGCTTTGGGTGTGTCATCCCCCACTGGCAATATCTGGTAGCCACCTCAAAGAGCTGTTGCAATAAAGCAGAGGCCATAAAGAAGGCTTGTAGCTGCAAACAGGTTGGCAGACAGGGCTGTTATTTCCATTCTCCAGGCAGACG